TAAACTTGGGACAGAAGAGGGGAAAATGCTACTGATACTGCAGGGACTGCAAAATGTTCATGAATTGTCAAGGTGAAAATCTACTTGCTCTGTAAATTTTACTCAAATCACAATAAAAGTTATAAAAAACAGAAAAAGAATTTGACTAAAAGAAAATTATGATAACAACTAAAATGTAAGCTAAGGGTATTTTTTTTAATCTACTTTGTTTGCTATTGTGACTCAATTGTGTGGAAAAATAAACCTGGCACATAATACATATTACTGAATAAATTAATAAATTAACAAAATGGAAAGAACCAGTTGTAGAGTCAATTTTTAAAAAAAACTTCTATTTTGTTTGCCAGCAGACATGTCTCATTAGCACTGCTCACCACAAAACCATTATAATGTCACTTTCCTGCTCAAAACCTTGCTTCCACTCACCACATTTCCAGAAACTCTGTTTTACAACATCTTGTTATCAGCTTCCCATCTCTTACTTCTATTTGAGACACTTAAATTAAATACTCATACAATATACTCAGCCTCTATGCTTTACTGAGTCCTGGGGCGGTGCAAATAGTGGTTTGAGTCCACGCAGAAGTACTTTGGTTAAACAGGCCTGGTGATCTGCTTCCGAAAGGTCTCAACCATGAAAACCTTATGGAACAAAAACAAAAGAAAGAAGCAACTCCTGCCATGCTCACTGTTTACAGTCATCTTATTGAGGGACTTCCACTATGTCCGTGACCCACTACTTCCCCAGCATAATGGTTTTTTCCAAGGACTGGCCCTTCCTGACAACATGCCCAAGTTACGTGAGACCTCTCACCATCTTTGCCTCTAAAGGGCACCCTGTTTGCACTTCGTCTATGACAGACTTGTTTGTTCTTTTGGCAGTTGTAAATTCATGGTAATAAGCTTTTCACTAACACCACAATTCACAGGCATCAGTTCTTCAGTCTTCTTCATTTACTGTCTAACTTTCACACACCTATGAAGCAAATGAAAATACCATGGCGTGGATCATGGCATGGCTCCTTATTCTTTAACTGATATCCTTGCTGTTTAAGAACTCAGTTGGATTTAAAAAAAACTCCAACAACACAAAAAAGAACACATGAACAAATGAAATATTACGCATTTGAAAGCCCCATTTCCCTAACTCTTGCTCAGAAATCATTGCACAATATGATTTCAACTGTGAATAGCACTGATTACTAGATTCTAGATAATCTAAACCCATGATATAAAAATGGAAGCACAGGGTCAGAGGTCTCCCAACTTCATAAACAGGGAGAAGCAAAATCAAACTGAGCCAACACTGATTTTTATATAGTGAAAGTCATATACCCTCACCCTCAAATCTTGTATTAACCAATATTGATACCAACTGTCCCTCACAAGGTACCCTCTACTTCTCTGCTGGAGTCAATAATCAATCCACTGCAATGGCCACAAAGAACTCCCAGACCATATTCACAACCATGGGATTAGGAGAGTAATGTTTTTTTTTGTTGTTGATTGTTGTCAAGTCGAGAACAATTCATAGTGACCCAATGATTGCCACTGAGTCTAGTACAACTCACAGCGACCCTACGAACAAAAGACCCGAAGCCTTTCTATAACTATCGTTTCTCAAAGTTCATAGAAACGAGAGTAACAGATTCTAATTTAAGATCAGGAAGTGCAGTAATAGGAACAAGTCAGGCTTCAGTTTTTCAATTAGGACAGTTTCTTAGCTGTGCCCACGGGCAGGCCTTTTTGGCCCTTGCCCTGTTTTATGTCCTGTTTAGGTAAGTGTTACAAAGTTAGTTAGCTCAGCTGATAAGTTCATGGAGGTGCCTCAATCAAACAAGGCTTCAGCTAAAAGTCTCTTACAGTCCCTAGTTTTGTGCTGTTTTCAGTGTTACAACTCTAGAAAAAGCTCCACTACTGGTTGCTTTTCTTGGAGGAGGCAGTTCTTGGAAAAGGACATTGTGCTCGGAAAGGTCCAGAGTCAGAGAGGAAGACACTCAACAAAATGACTATAACCACACAGTGGCTTTTACAGTTGACTCAACTGTATTAGAGATTGTGAGGGCGGCACAGGATAGATAGGTTGCTACATGAATAGTAGCCAACTCAACGGTGTATAACGATAAAATAAGCCCAGCACAATGGCAAAATTGACTAATCCCTTGTTTTAGTTCCATACACCTTATTTGTATGGTCCCATCCCTGAAAATATTCCAGGTACTTTATCGACATTATTAGTAGGTAGACTCTCCAATCCACTTAGAGATAATCTGTGTGGTCCTACTGAGTCATTTTGTGGGAGTTATGAGACCATACAGTGCTAGAAGGGTCAACTGCACTACAAAAGACTTGTCAATTACTTCTCTCTCTCTCTCCAGTATTAAAGCTACATCTATATCCTTTCCTGTAATTCAAACCAAAATCAGTTTTAAAAGAGCCCTAATAAAATGTTATATAAAAAAAAACCCTATTAAACAGACTTTCTATTGAGATCAGGGCTCAGATGAAAATAAAATCGCGTCAGCATAATCAGATGAGCAAGACCAGTACTGTTTTTTAAGTAGCAGCCTTTGCTCATCTACGCAACAATCTGACCTCTCCGTGTGTTTGCATTCATTAATAAGAGTCTAAAAAAGGGGTGTTTGACCCTCTTTTAAATTTAAAGCATATACAAAACTTCAACAATTTCTACTTGGACAATGCAGTAACACTGGTTACATTCTTCAAGTTACAAGACCTTTCATAACCTTTTTCCAAATCATTTCACCATCATTAATACAAACTCACTGCCCCATAAGCTTCTTATCTAACCTTTCAAATTGCTGTTTTCAATTTAATCATACATAATTATACATAATTCCTTAATTATTTCATGACCTATGGGATCCATGGTACCTACCTTCATTTTCCATCTCTGGAAAAGCTGCTATTAATGGGAAGCTGTTATTCTACTTTAATGAATGCTGCCATCTGGTGGGTGGGTGGTTGCTATGTGAGTGAGCTTGTAACTATGAATCTCAAGTTCAAGCCTCATCTTACCAGCTCCAGTACAAAGGCTTTTTGGGACACAGACGGTACCATTCACTGCCTAAAAATCTGTATTGTTTTTATTTCATTCAAAATCACTTCCATTACTAAAAAACACACGTTGTTGTTGCATGCTGTAAAGTCAGAGAACCAATTCACAGCAAACCCTCCAGCAGGTTTTTAGAGGCAGTAAATCCTACTCTATGACTTGACAGCACTTAACAACAACAAGAGAGCTCTGTTGGCCTAGTGGATAGAAAGTTATGTTACCAAGCCAAAAGTGGGTGACTTTAATCTGCGGCCCTCAGGCCTGGTTTTAATTGTTTTCGCTCAAGCATTCTTCTAAATCATATAGCACTGGTCTGTCCATTTGTGTAGAGAGGTGGTTGCTGTGATGCTAAACACTGTGACAATGATGTGTCAAATGTGATAATGGTTACCCATGGTGGACAGTGTTTAGTGGAGCTCCCTGATTAAAACAAGCATGGAAGCAGGAGTGATGTCCACTTCTGAAATAGCTTGCCTCCGGAAAATCTATGAACTTGGAGAAACGACGAAAGTTATACAAGTGTTCAGGTCTTCCGTTCCTAGGGTCGCTATGAGTCATCTATGTCTCATGGCGCTTAGCAACAACACCCACTAATCCCACAGGAGGAGACTGTGCTCTTCACTCTCCCACAGAACAGGTGCATTCAAGTCCCGAGCCTTTGGGATTGCAGTGCAGCTTCTTACCACTAAGCTATCAAAACAAAATAATTTAGTCTCAGAAGAATGAAAAAGAACATAATGCTCAAGGGGTCAATAGTATCTACATACCCCTAAATTTAATCATCTATCTCACATAACAGTATTTTCATGTCCATCCTAACCTCAGTTCTACACATAACCATATAGAGAGCTCTGGTGGCCAAGCGGTAAGGAGTCATGCTGCCAATCCAAAGGCATGTGGTTTTCGAATCTATCAGCTGTTCCACAGGAGAAAGATAGGCGATTTACAGCCTCTGAAAACCAGCTGGTGGGTCAGCTGTAAATTGGCTTCCCAATTTACTGTCATGCACATAACAACAATAATCTTCAAGGAGCTCTACTGGCCAAGTAGTAAGAAGCTGAGCTGCCAAACATTCGGAAGTGATTCGAATCCAGCATCTGCTCCTTGGGACGAAGATTTACTTGCGATTTACTGGAGGGCCAGCTATGATGACAGCAATGAGTTGAGGAATCTGAATTTAATCTTCTGGATTAAAGTGTCAAGTTCTAAATTAATATTCCCCCCCCCCTTTTTCTTGCATTCAGAGTCACCTACAGAACAAACCCCCAAACCCTATCACCCACATTCATTAAAGGGGAAGCCCAGGGAGTAGGATCCACGCAGAATTTTTCTCAAATTCAGGTGGTTCTAACGTGAAGCCAACCCTGAAATCCAGGGGCATAAAACCATTTTATCCTTGAAATTGAGAAAATGAACAGGAAGGGTATTCATCAGGAACATACACCTCTGCAGCCTGACCCCACCTCTCAGGCCAGGTTCAATTTCCTAAATGCACCCACATTAGTGTTTCAAGAATCTAGTAACAAGGCCAAGCATAAAAGGCAATCGTTATTCTCCTGCCTTGAGTACGAATGCAACCAAATTAAGTTAGATTTAATAACCTACGGCTTCATTTTCTATTATAACCTGGACTGGGTTCAGATCTGTGAACGGACAACCGTTTCAGATGAAAGGCCACTTTAGAGGCCTCAGAGAAACCTCTGTCATCTAAAGTTGGTGCGGACCAGACCCGAGAGGGAATTGTCCTCAGAAGTGGGGGTAGAAAAGCAGAGAGAGCTGTGTCTGGGCCCCTTCCGTGGGCCTGGATCAACATAACAGGTTAAGAAAAAGCAATGCTGTTGCTGAACCAGCCAAGAGGTTGCTTGCAGAACACAGCGCTGCAGAAACAGAGCGGGAAGAAGGGCTCGAGGATCTTGGTACTCACGCAAGTGCCGCCTAGCTTGTGGCTCTCCACCACCGCGGCCCTGGCGCCGAGCTCCGCTGCCCGGCGCGCGCTGGCCAGCCCGCCCGAGCCGCCCCCGATCACCAGGTAGTCGTAGGAGGCCACGGCGGCGCCCGGCGGGCACTGCGGCTGCGACTCGTTCGCCATGGCACGGGGAAAGGCGCGCGCGGCGGCGGGCTGGGGACGCGGCAGCAGGAAGCCGACAGAGGCGCGCGCCGCCCGCTGGCAGCTCGGCCCCGCGCTCCCGCTCAGGGCCCGCAGCAGCAGAGCCATGCACGCGGAAGTGCGCGCGAGGGCGGTGGCCTGGGGCGGGTCTCGGGGCAGGCGGGGGCGAGGGCCCCAGGCAAAATGCAACCTCACAGTGACTAAGCACCTGGCTGGAGGGTAGAGGGCATGAGAGTCCCAGCCGCGGCTCGGGCGGAAAGAGAAAGGAAGTGTGCCCGGGAAGAAGCGGGCCGCCTGCGTTCCCCGCCTGCCGCGGAGTAACCGGACCGGCTTCTGAAGGCGGGCGGTAGCCCTTGGCTCTACCCAGACTGAGGGCTGAGAACTGGAAGCGATTAACTGCTGCGACATTCCCCTAGCCTCTATATATGGGATATCCCAGAGCCTGCTACAGAAGGCCTGTGAGGGCGGCAAAAGGTGGACCAACACCACCCCTGTTTCTTCCTGGGAGTTGCCAGAAAGGACAGTTTACCCTCTTTGTTAAAAAAAGTTTGCGTGATAATTTATAGAGCAGACTGATTTCCATTCAACAATTCGCACAGTTAAAAACACATTTGTTTCCAGACATTGATTACACACATACACACACACACACACACACACTGAGACAAGCAGTCTTGCTGGATTTCCCATTGCCTTCATCCTTTGCTATCCCTGCCGCCTGGGCGTTATCTCCCAAATGCTGCCCTTTTGATCTAGTGTACTTAAGTGTTCTAAGAAATATATTCCTCAATGGTGTTATAGATCACTTCATAAACCTGTTAATTGTTTGCCTGATGGATGAGTCATGTGGGTGGGAAGAGTGGGAAAGAGTCTTTTGAGTGCTTGAATGGTGTCTAAAAGTCATTGTTTGAAGGGGGGGGTGCAACTTTGAGTTTTATTTCACAATTTTCTCCCACTGTATCAGAGACCTGTTGAAACTCCTTTCAGAGTCATCAGCATTGGTAAGTGAACATAGCCTACTTCTGTTCTTACGGTTTATTATTGACTCCTTGGTTTAATATTAAGCCTTTGACTCTCTCTGCTCCAGACAGGGAATGACCAGTGGAACTTTAGAAACTTTCACATGATTTCTTCGGTTGATGTTTCTCAGTACTTTATCTGCAGGCTGGCAGATCATTTCAAGAGCTGATTCTGGCCCTAACCCAAATCTATTGAATCAAAACTCCTCTGGGGAGAGGGGTGGGGATGTGCAGGTGGAGGAGTAGGGGGGATTATTAATGGGGTTGCACAATTTGATGGGTGCAGGGGTTAGGGAAATGGGAAGGTACTGGTGTGAAAACAATGTATTAAAATTTTGTAAAGAAACTAGTATAATAATAATAATGATAAAAAAAAAAACACCAACCCTGGAGTGGGGTGCTGGAATTCCCGTATTAAACAACATCCTCCCACTCTCCTTCCTCATCTCTTTATGATGATTCTTAAGAACATTTAGATTAATAAATTCTGAAATGATGGGTTCAATCTAAGTAAGGATTTCTGTGATCCACAAATGACACCTAAAAAAGACAGGAATATCTTTTGAATATTTGAAACTAAAAAGTGCAGCTGTGAATTTGAGTGGTTCTGGGCACTCCTATCCCTACAGCACACGCCTGTCATTTGAATGCAAGGATAAGCCCATGAGCAAAAGAATGAAGGTTTGGGTCACAGAGATGTGAGACCTAACACACTAAATGAGAATGGGAATGTATCACACTACAGTCAGAATAGGATTGTTACTTATTATTATTATTATTATTATCATTATTATTATTATTATAGAAATTATATCTGGATGCAGAGGCTGTTGTATGAACAAAGCAGGGTAACACTGTATGCTTTAAAATTGAGAAAGGAGTGATCTATACAAAGAAAACTATAGAGCATTTCTGAAAGACATAATAAAAGACCTAAAGAAATGGGAAAACATGCCCTGTTCATGGATAGGAAGACTCAATATGATGAAAATTATAATCCTACCAAAAACAATCTATATGTTCAATGCAATCCCAATCCAGGTACCAAATTCATTTTTCAAGGAGATTGAAAGGGAAATTATCAAATTTATTTGGAGAGACAAGAGACCTCAAATAAGCAAAACAGTTCTGAGAAACAAAAATGAGGTTGGAGGAATAGCACTCCCTGACCTCAAAACCAGCTACACATCAGTGGTAAACAAAACAGTGTGATACTGGTGAAATGGCAGGCACATTGACCAAAGGAACAGAATTGAGAACCCAGAAATAGACCCAGCTATCTATGGCCAACTGATATTCAACAAGGAAATCAAAGCTATCAAATAAGGAAATGATAACCTTTCAACAAATGGTGCGGGCAAAACTGGACTTCCACCTGCAGAAAGCTAAAACCGAATCCACATCTCACACCATACACAAAAATCAACTCAAGGTGGATCAGAGACCTGGGAGTAAAGCCCAAAACCATAAAGTTCTTAAGAGACAAACTGGGATCAAGCTTAGAAGTGCTAGTCCAAGATATACAGACTGCCAAATACAACCAGAAATGCATAACCTGAAGAGGATAAAAGTGATACATCGGACCTTCTGAAGATTAAATCTCTATGCACATCAAAAACTTTTCCCAACAGGGTGAAAAGAAAACCTACAGACTGGGAACAAACATTTGGTAATTCCATCTCCAACAAGAGTCTTATAACAAAAGTTCATAGAATACTCCTGGGGAGGCACATAAGAGAGGCAGAGGGACACGCTGCTGGGCAGAACAGGGAGACTAGAAGCCACACAGGCAGAAGTTGGGGCCGGACAATAGAGAAGCAATTCACAGCAAAAGCTTCTGACACAACCACAGGTACAAAAAGCCCCAAGGCGTAGCCAAAATTGGTCAGGACCAAGGGCCCCAGGACCAAGGACCAAGAAGAAGAATACAATATATACAGGAGTTCTACAGGACAGATCACCTTCCCTTTGGAGAAAGTACAACTAAACTTAAGAGACACTGGTCACAGAATAAAAAATTGTCAGCAGTTGATATGTTTGGAATCACAGAAGCCAAGAAAGCTTCAGATACAAGCTGTCAGATCATGGGTTGGACAATGGAAGATAAATTCTGAAGAGATTTGGTAGAAGTGAAGGTGTATCCTGGTGGAGGGTGGAGCTGGGAAATAAGTGGGTCAAGGCTCTGGGCTAAGGGCAGGGACAACACTGTAACTAATGGTTAACTCCACAATGACGGATTTATCTTCCACTGCTCCACAAATTGTCTGTCAGATACTCTTCTAAATCTAAACATTCAGATTAAGACAGACTAGGAAGAAAGATTGGCCACCCACTTCTGAAATAGCAGACCTCCGAAAATCCTATGTACAACAGAACACACATAGATTAACAGAAAGGGAAACCTAGGTAGAGCTTTCAAGTATGGAAATACAAAGGAAGAGGAACAGTTGTAAGCAGAC